AGCTTGTGTCCAAATAAACTGAATTTAAATTAAACTTTTTTTTCAAACTTTATGTTGAATTATTGTTGTATTGGAATATTTATCTTTCAATTATTGATGGATCATGGTATCTATCTTTGATTGTTTTCAATATTCAGCGTATTAAAAAGATGGATGAGGCAATTATTTGAGGGAGAACGTTGGATGACATTCGCCCGGCCAGATGTCCACGGACATTTGAGGGAGTCCGTTTGAGGGGTAGCCTTGTAGATGCCCTTAGAACGCTCGCTTGTCAAAGGAAATCATATCCTTGTTTTTTTATTTCTATCTTGGGCATCTTTCTATAGAAAAATGGAGAAATGAAATTCTTAGAAACCTTTGTTATCTGAGTTGTTTCATTTGTGCAATTGAATATTAAGTTTTTTTGGTAACGATTGTTTTTCACTATATCTTACAAAAAACTTCTATCACTCAAATCTTTTGGATGCTTTTCCTTCAATCAAATGACCTTTATATTTCATTTCAGGGTTTTCTGAATCAAGTGACGGTACACTGCATGTGCCGTTTTGAAAGAAACAAAACGGGCGAAAAGCAGGTTTTGTTACTATGTAGAGGCCAACAAAACTCTGACAACTCAATGTAATGTCGATTTATGTGCATGCCAACAATTTTTGATAATTCATGTGTAAGTATAACAAATATCACAATAAAAAGATATATTAGTACTGGTACATAAGTCTCGAAAACTACTTATTTTTACGCTTACCACACAACTACTTCTGCAATATCAGTTTCACAAAATTTGATAATTTGGGCAGCAAAAACCTTACAGCCCAACCACGTAGGTAACTGAATTTCGGAAACATCAACCTGAGGAAAATAAACTACAAGAGCAAGAAAAGTGCACCGGTACGCAGTCCAAAATCCCCTGCAGATTCTCTCGCACAAAGGCAAATAACGGCAACAAAAGGTCCAAGCAAAAACAAGGTCAGAGAGGTAAGGAGAAGACAGAGAAGCATAACGGAGCCAGCACTCAGCAGTCAGCAACACCTTGATCACTTCAAAAGAGGGTTTTGAACTGACAAATTTTGGAGGCCACTTCATCAACTGCACGAAATTGTGAACAGTTTTTCCAGCTCGCTGAGTGGTACAGACTTGAACTGATCTGGCAGCCCCACGCACAGCCTGCTCAGAGACCCGGGAACAACGTTCAATGATCAGAGACTCTAACTTCTGTGAATGTGCCAGCTTCGATACTCCAGCATTAGTCACGCGGTCACAGAGCCGGAGCGTGAGATTAATCAAGCATGGGGCACGCACAATGAACCGTAGCCCAGCATTACTTATGGCCTTGCAATCCACAAGCTCGAGTGTCTCCAGTAATGGAGCAGATGAGAGGGCCTTCATCCCTTTGTCATTAAAGAAGTTGGCACCCCTTAGCACGATTAGACGAATCGGGCAAGACTTAATGAGAGACACTAGGCCCTTCCGTGTGAAGCCTATTTCTGACGTGTACATGGCAGAGCAGCCTGAAAATGTGAGATCAACACTCTCAAGCATAGGGCAACTGAGAGATAGAGCCTTAAGGCTGTTATCAGTAAATGCCGTCCTGAAAGTATCGTAATAATTCTGAGGATCCAGCCAAAGTGAGATGCTTTTAAGATTGTTGCAGCTCTGGGATAATGCAATCATGTCGTTGTCATTTAGACCCCGAACATACTCCAAGCAAAGCTTCTCCAGTGCTTTGCACCTCCCAAAGAGAAAACGAAGTCCTTTTTCTGTCGCAATTTCGATACCTGCCAACCTCAAGTCCTTCATATCCTCACAACTGAAATCATACATATTCAGGCTATGAGGGTTGTATGAGGGATCATAGCCCTCATTAGGCCCAGCCCCGTCATTACGAAAGAATCTTTTCTTGATTTCAAACACAAACTTCTGTAGATTTATCCATCCTGGACCAAACTTCAGGAGGTCATCCTGGCTGATGCCCTCACACTTCTTTACTACAAGCTCTTCCAATGATCCTACAGAGCCAAGGTACTCCAACCAATCTTTGCTACCTACTTTATGGCAGTCAATAAGGTGGAGAGCAGAAAGACTCTTGCAACGAACAACCACGGCGAGAAGCCCTCTTGAAGTTATGTTTAGTGTGGAGGTCAACCTGAGGGACGCTAGTTTCTTGGAACAGGCTAGATAACCAAGACCAGAGTCATCGATGTATGAGCAAAAGCTTAAACCGAGACTAGTCAGCGAGGGGCAGTGAGATGATAACACAGAGAGACCTTGGTTGTCCAACTGATTGCCATGGCCTGCCGTCCAACCAGAGTAGTCTATTTCCACTTTACACAAATTAGGGAATCGGGTGCACAGCGATGCCAAGGCTTCTGTAGCAGGGAAAAGGCCACAGCCAACATGGATAGCACCCCTCTGATCTCCCTCAATCTTGTAGAGCTGCTTCGACACAAGGGAAAGAGAATTCAGATCACTTGTCCTGGTGATCCTTTTGAGAAACTCTGCAAACAGTTCCTCCGGGAGATCCTCCATCGAGCAATGTAGTGTGCAAGTATGGTAATCCTGAAGTTCAATAGGTACGCAGAGCACTGCACAGAAATGAATGAGAATCAGAGTTAAGCATAGCAGGGCTATAAGGTCACTTTAGCGATAGCGATAAAGATAACTATTATACTGGTGAAAATTCATGTGTTACAATAAGGAACAACATCGAAGTAATTATCATCCCAAGTATCTGAAATTGCCGAAATAATAAAGAAAGAAGGGATCCAGAAACAACAATCAGAAATACGAGTCTATGAGATAATACTGTTCCGACTGAACACATGAAAACCTCCTCCATGAGGACCTAGGTGCTCCTGAGCAAGTTGCATAAATAGAACCGAAACTATATGTTTTTGCTAACATACTCCCTTGGACATTAAGTCGTCAATTAAAGTACAAGAATCGAAATTCTGAAACATGTATAATCAAGTATCATCGATATACGAAAAATCATTCTTTCAAGTATATATTAAAGATTCATGTGTTCATCTTTGGAAAGAACAAAGGTACCGACCTATTTATCTCTAAATCTCTAAGCAGACAACAAAGAACCCATAGGTCACACAATAATGTAGAGACATATCTGGAATAGCTGGGAAAATGAAATCAAGGAAGAAATCTCGGACATAATAACTAGAATCGATGCAAATCTACGAGATAACATCCACCTGCTGAACCGACATCTTGCGTTCTGCTGAGCGACACTAAAGTTTATTTGCCTTTAGCAGGAAAATCATGTGACTGGGCATAAAAATTAACCGTAACAACAAAGCTAAGGACTACAATTTCATCTGTCAATCAACCATCCAAATCGGAAGAAGGGAAGACATGATCCTATAAGCATCTGAAGTTTAGGAGCTAACGAACCGAGGTTGGAGCTGTTTTCTTCAGACGGAGACGGAACAGAGGAAAGGGCGCCGCCGTCAGAACGAACGGGAGAGAAGAACGGCACGGATCGGCGGCGGTCGTGGGTCGGCCTGGCCGGAGGAGGAGAGCGCCGTCTCCGACCGGTCTTTTTTTTTTGACGGATCGACCAACCAAAACCCTCGTCTTGTTCGCGTCCACTCTCTTTGGAGCAGGCGCACTGGGCATATGGGCTTGGTTAGTGTTGGGCCTAGCATGCTCTTGAGCTCGGCGGTGAACAGTCCAAAACCCCTAACAGCCCACACGGCCCAAAACTCGGCGAGACGGAACGGGACTCGGCAGCGGGGACAGCACAAGCGGAAGCTCCCCGTTCTACCGAAAAAGGCTTTCGCCCCGCTTTATAGATAAAGCAAACCGCCAAAGGACATACAACCACACCAAGTCCACACACACCCAAGTACCACAACAAAGTCATAAGGTTCCGCTGAGGGCACAACTCAACAAGCCCAAAGAAAAAGAAAAAACAAAGCGAGACCCGCGCCGGGGATTTAGTCAGGCTCCGGCGGCGGCAGATTGGTTAGGGTGAGTGATCCGGTCAGCAAGCAGGGTCACCCTATTGGCGTACCCCTTGGCCAAGATCCGAAAGATCACGTTGATGACCGTAATCGGGCGGAACTGGCGGATGTCCGTCGCCCCAGGGACCTTGGGAATGAGGGAGATGGTCCCAAAGTTGAGGCGGCCAAGGTCAATCGAGCCCACGAAGAATTCCTCGAAGATGGCCATGATCTCAGGCTTAATCACGTTCCAGAAGGTCTGGAAGAAGATGACCGGAAGACCGTCAGGGCCCGGCGCCGAGGAGGGGTTCATATCCCTGATGGCCTCCCAGACCTCCTGTTTAGAGAAGGGGCCGTCAGGGATGTGCTATCGGCTTCAGAAACCAGATGGGCGCCGGTCCAGCAATCAAGGGCGAGAGAGAGAGACCGCTCCGAGGAGCGGGGGAGAAGAGGAAACGATAGAACCCATCAACATGGGGCGGATGTCCCGGGGGTCCTGAAGGAGAGAGGCTCCATCCCAAAGGCAGGGAATGGTGTTGCGTCTGCGACGCCCGTTGGCGATCACCTGGAAGTAAGTCGTATTCGCGTCACCCTTCAAGACCCAACGCTGAGCGCCCCGGATACGCCAATAGGCCTCCTCATCAGTGTAGATCACGAAGAGCTGGTCCTCGAGGTCATAGCGGGACAGCCACTCGTCCGAGTAGAGACCAACCGCGTCAGCCCGGAGGTCAAAAGCCTGGATCGCAGTCAGCAGCGCCCTCTTACGCTCCCTGGTGTCACGGCCCAAGTTGGCTCCCCACCCCTTCATAAATTGCCGAGCACGCTTCGCACAGAAGTGCCACGCGTCTATGGCGGAAGGGGGGCGGGGTGGGGGTGGGCACGAGCCTCGATCCAACGAGCACTGACGGTGACTCGACTCCCCGTTCTCGCCCCGCCGTCTCCGGAGTTCTCCTCCTCGTCCTCCCCTCCCCCTCTCCTCTCCGAAGCCAAGCTACCACTGCCAGGGCCGCTCGATCCTGGCCGAGACAAGGGAGGGGGCCGACAATGGCGTGGAGGCGACTGGCGAGCGGCGCCGCCATGGCGGCGCATCTCCGGCGGGGCGTCCCCTCTCCCCACTTCGCCCCCGCCCGCGCCTTCTCCGCCCTCCGCGGCCCTGCCGCCGACAGCCCTACCCGTGAGTTCCTTGCTTCTCCGGCGTCCTCGCTTGCTTGATCCACGCGCTGACTCCCTCGCGTGACTCGACTCCCTACCAGTTCCTGTCAGGCACGCGTTGCAGGGCGTCTGGTCGCGGTGTTCGAGCTCGGCCCCCGCGTTTCAGGCTCGCGCCCCCATGCTCCGGGATCTGCTGGCCGCGAGGGTGCCCCCCGGAGTTCGTCCGAAGCTTCCAGGTAGCCTAAGGGGTTAGGATCGTGTGCTACGGTTACAGTATTTGTCAGTGCGCCGTGGACATCCTTCAAGCTCTCCTTGTATTTGTCTCAAAAACATATCTCAGATAGCCATGTCTTGGTCTACAATGTTAGTTGACCAGGATTATGCTCACTGACTTTAACCATTATTCTAGGTCTGCTGAGGGGATTTGGGACCGGCGGCACCGCAATTGCTGTCATGCTTTATCCCACAAAGGTCGCGGAGGCACAAGGTAATTTCTTGCCACAGACACCAGGCACATTAGAATGTACAGTATATGTTTTTTCCTTCTAGTGCTTGCTCACATGGAGAAAAACATTTAGTGCATTTCCCCGATATGATTGTTCTTTTTCCTGAGCATGCTTATGTATGATCTGGTATTTAGGTATGTATTGGAGTATTGGACAGAGTTTAGTGAAGTTGATAATATGTCCTATAGTCCAATTTCATTCAGATTTCCCCTTGAAAAACTTAATCTAAGTTGTTATACATACTTAGACCTAGCTACAGATAATCCAAATGCTAGTCACTATTATTATCCTAATGCACATTTTTCCTGTGTGTAATTTCTTGCATCACAGAGCGACCGCCAAAGAGCCCATCAAAAGACATCACTGTGCTCTCACCACATTCGAAACAAGTTCTTAGGAAATTCTGGAATTTGGTCAGAAAATTTCAGCTGCCTATCGGTTTGATTCTCTTGATTGTGTATGGTTGGCGGAAACCAATGGTTCTTGCCATCAACACATTGCTTCTTCTCTACTCTACAAGGCCTGACCCCTATTCCATATACTTGTTTCTTCAGGAGGTTAGTTAAATTATTATGGCATCTTATAAAAGAACATATTCATGTTTACAGTTTGATGGTGCTTAATGTGGAATGATTGTAGCATCGTTTGAGATTTATTTATGCTACCCAAAATAACAAACTTATGAGAGGATGTTGTATGTTTTTCCTTCTTCTGTTACCTGATATATGTTTTACTGTTTCAGATTCATCAAGGGAAGGTGCAGCAAAATCCTGTATTGTGGAAGGAGGAGGTGAGCTTCATGCTTTTCCCCCCTAAGAGAGCTATATTACATATACCTGCATTTTGTAACACGGTTTGGAGTAGTTTAATGGTTCTACACCACATTACATTTTGAAGTGCTTTCCATATGGTCATGAACTTTCATTCACATTTTATTTTTAGCCTTTGCACAATCGAAGAACCCCCAAAATACCCCCCTAAACTTGAACACATTAAGAAGATTATACCCTTTTCTGAAAACAGTTTGAACATCCGTCTCAACATGCGCATCTCCGCTACACCTAACTCGAAGGGGGCAAATCCACACTTGATCATCTTCACTTCTGGGCAACCCTCATCAGTTATCCTCTCATCCTCTTGAGGAGTAGCAGGTTGCGGTCAAGCAGTCTTGAATGAGGATCTTTGAATAGCATCTTCCATCTTCCAATGTGTGACATCAGTTTCCAGAGCATTATTCTACCATGCCAGTTTTTGCTCTGAAAACAAAGTTGATTCTGTAAAGACCATATTGAGTTATTGACCAGAGATTAGCCTAGCATAACAAATTCAGAATTGCATTCTTATTGTTTACTCAACCACCAACGGCAAACATATTCAAAGTCAGAACCTAGCTGGACACCGAATATACCAGAGATAATTTTCCACTCTTGTTTGGCCACCACAACACAGCCAAAAAACAAGTTATGCACTGATTGATTCTCAGCACAAAACAAGCATGCCTTATTACCCTGTCTTTAACATTTGGGTGCTTTTGAATGTTATCACACGTGAGAATTCTGTTATTGGCGAGGAGCCATAGAAAGACATGGACCGTATCTATTAAAGTTTAGTTTTGCAGCTAGTATATTGCCCCAGAAAAATCATAATCAAAATTTCTGCAAAAAGAATGAAGAACTGCAAAGCCTTGTGATTTTTCTTTGGTTCCTGAAGGTAAAAAATGACCTTAACCATAGTCGAAACTATTCAAAAGATCATGAAGTAAAAATTGACTTGTACTTGTGGAGTAGAGAATATAATTAGGCAGAAAGTATGCAAAGCTTCACGATTCTCCCTTGGTTCCTGATGGAGAACTGCAGACCTCTTATCTTTTAATTGGATGTTTCGGCACTTGTGTTCCTTTTCCTGTATTTCAAGTACTCCCTCCGTCTGTAAATACCTGTCATCAAAATGAATAAAAGGGAATGTATCTGGATGTAGTTCTAGATACACCCCTTTTTGTCCATTTTGATGACAAGTTTTTTCGGATGGAGGGAGTACTAGTTTATGATTTGGTAAATTGTTCCTGTGCTGCTTCGGTGGAGTTACACCATCACCTGGACAGAACTAGTCGACTGCAGCTTTTGAGATACTATGCTTATGCTTGCAGCTCTCTTCCATGCTTTCTGTCGCCGCAAACAAAAGAAATTTGCTGTCATTGAAATTTAGGTATAATGTCAATTCAATTAAGTTGTATTACCTCTGTCCATAAATACGACACATGATTTTTGGTGAAGTAATGGATAGTGTCAGCAAGGTCAATCCATATGCATGACAATATTTAGTTCCTCAGCGCTCCTTTTATGTACTAATTTTATAGTTATAACCCTTCTTCATTTGCCTTCAGGTCATCCAGACAAGAAAAGTTGATACCGAAGACTACAAGTTCTTTTCTATTGGGACGGTCGAATTAAAGGACAGAACAGTACTGCATGTGATTGGAATTCTGGGCAATTGGTGGATCTATCATGTGTCGTATGACAAGAGAGTGGAGCAGTTGTACTTGTAACTTCTCATTCTGAAGAGCTGGTTAATAACAGTAGTTACTTGTAGTTTTTGACATCTGTATTAGGGGATACTGATTCTCAATGTTTCGGAGCTCTGCTTTTGCATGTAATGCTAAAATGCGTTAACATCACAAGTTTGTCCGGAAGATCTAGCTCTACTGGTCATCCATGGAATTTGTTTGATGGATGCATCGATTAACTTGTATCTGCTTGAAGTGTGAACTTACATCAATTTGAGTTGCGTTTCTCTGCATTATTTTCTTTAGAAATAACATGGCACTGAGTTTATCTGTGATATGCGATCATTCTGTTTTACCTATGATGTAACAAGGCCTGTTGTCTCATATTTTCTTAATTCTGCATGCCAGGTATGAATATGAGTATAGATATTACTATCTGTCTTTGGAAATACATGACACTGGGTTCATTTGGGATATGAAGATCATTCTGTTATTACTTATGATGTAACAAGGCCTCTTCTCTCTTATTTTCTTTATTTTGCATGCCGGATCGGGATACAAGTACATTATCTGTCTTAACAGAAGTGTTGAACTTGTTATTGATGTTTTTCTGGTAAAGAATAGCTAGCTGGATGAGTCATTTTATTTTTATCAAATGCCAAACTGCTACGCTGCATCTCATCGGATTCCCCATATCAAAATGCTTTCATCTTTCATTTCATCTGTATTGGAAGCATCTGGTACTATCTTATTCCTGATCAACCTGGCTTTTCTTTGCTTGATGCTTTAGTGAGAATCAGTTTACATCAGAATTTCTTTCCTCTTGTCCATACCTGTGCCGTGCCGACGGTGCCGCTTTAGTTAACCGATGAATTAGAATCTGGCATTCCAGTGCCAGTGGCATGAAAGAAACTGGAGTAAAATTCTTTTTTGCCCCTTTTGCTTTGCATCATGAATCTTGATTTTTCATGCCTTTTGTACCCATAGTTTTCTCTAGCAGCGGTAACCAAGTGGAACATGTCTGTTTCCAGGGGGGAGGTAAAGTGGTGATAAGGAATCAGGTTAGACGCACCAAGACTGCAAAGCGGCTTTCTATGTTTTCTATGTTTTCACCCTCTTTCGTTTAGTATTTCCAGTAATGCTAGTTCCTGTTGATATCTATTTAAAGACCTGACCGCAGCTGAAACCTCATTGCCATCGTTAGACGCACTGGTCTGGAAATCAAAAACCTGTGTTGTGTTTATCTGAGCTTTGCAGGGACATGGGTGGGAGGAATATCGGAGTTGCTGTGGACTTCTCATCGTGCAGCAAAGCGGCTCTGCGATGGGCGTCAACCAACCTTGCCAGGAGCGGTGATCAACTCGTGCTGATCCATGTCAACAACTCCTACCAGAATGAGCAAGGAGCGATGCATCTCTGGGAACAGGTCGTGAACCACGCGGCCTGCCCGGTCACGGTCGTGAAGGAGAACATGTAGTCGCAGCTTGCTACCGATGATGATACATATGCCGTCTGCAGTCTTGAAAGGAGATACATACAAGGAGATAATACCGTCTGCAAGAACAATAGTAGCAACGTGTAACCAGTAATAATAATAGTATGACAAATAAAGTCTGCTCGGCGTGCACTCCTCTTCTGTATCTTGAAAAGACACATGCTTCATCTAAGCATTTGTGATTTGTGTGACGGTGGTGTGTTCGCCCGCGTCTGCTTTGTATTCTCACAGATACTATATTTCATAGCAACACCATGACATTGTACTCCGAAATTTACTTGGAAGCTATGATGAAATTACAAGAAAATACTGTACATGGAATGTGGAGTGTAGTTCATCATAGCAAACACTGGGTTTTTGCAGCTTGCTGTTTGCCATCTTAATCGTCCATCACTTGATCGGTGCCGCTTCATCACCGACGAGGTCCGTCTACGGTCTACCTCGGCGGCGTTTCATTCGATGGCCACATGAACGCAGCCAAGGCCGGCGGCCGCATGCTCGCGCGGCGCGTCGTCGTACCGTCCCCCTGCCGCGGTGCCGCCTCCGCCGTGCCCGCGGCCGCCGCGGCGACGCCCCAGCACGTCTCCCACTACCTCGCGAGCAGCCCGAGGGTGACCTGGGAGGCGTTCCCCGCCGCCGCGGCGCCCGAGGGCCACGTCGACGCCGTGCTCCTCTCCCTCGCCCGGAACCCCAGCCCCTCCTCCTCCTCCGCCGAGACCGTCGCCAAGAACGCGCACAGCTTCTTCCATTGGTCCGCCGCCTCGTCGCCGTCGCCCCACTCGCTCCGCCCCTACTGCCTCCTCGTCCACCTCCTCGCCCGCGCGGCCCTCGTCAGCCACGCCTCCGTCCTCCTCCAGGCCGCCATCACCAGGCACTCCTCCTCGCCCGCCTCGCACTTCCTGGACGCCTTCTTCGCGGCCTACGAGGACAGCGGCACCGCCGCGACGGCCCGCGGCCTCCACCTCCTGGTGCACGCCTACGCGCGGCTCCGCCTCCCGGAGGAGGCCCTCGAGGCCTGCCGCTACCTGGCGCTCCGCCGCGTGCTCCCCTCCCTCTCCGCCTTCAACGCCGTGCTGCACGCGGCGCAGCGCACCGGCCGGTTCCGGGTCGCCTGGAGGTGTTCGAGCTAATGACGCTCAAGCGGGTGTACGCCAGCCAGGCCACCGTCGAGCTTGTCGTCGGCGTGCTGAGCCGGGAGGGTGCACTTGCCAGGATGGCGGCCCTTGTGGAGAGGATCCACGGCAAGAAGTGCGCGCCGGGCGTCGTGGCCCACGTCGCGCTGGCGCTGTGGATCTTCGAGGAGGGGAGGACCGAGGAAGGGATCTTGCTGCTCAGGAGGATGCTGCAGAGGAACATGGTGTTCGACGACGTTGCTTACTCGCTGATGGTGCATGCTTACTGTCGTATTGGTGATCTGGAGTCGGCACGTGAGCAGTGGGACGGCATGGTCCGACGAGGCTGTCGCCTGAACCCGTTTGTGTATACTTGCCTCATCGGAGTACATTGCCGTGAGGGCAATATCAGTGAGGCCATGCAGTTGCTTCGAGAAATGCTGTCCATGGGGTTGAAGCCGTATGATGCTACATACAGTCACCTCGTCACCGGGTGTTTTAGACATGAGAGGACAGATGAGGGCTCGGAGTACTTCGACAAGATGCTCCATGAAGGCCTTGTGCCGGACATTGGCACTTGCAATGAGATCTTAGAGGCGATGTGTGGTGCTGGACAGGTCGGCAAGGCAAACGAGTTGGTGACGGCAATGATCGACAAAGGAATGATTCCTGGTCAGGATACATACTGCAAGCTCATTGATGGGTACGTCAAGGTTGGTGATGCGGAAGGTGTTGTCAAGATTTATCATGAGATGGAGCACAGGGACTTAACCATGGCATCGAAGTTTTTACCTCCCTGATCAGTGGCCTGTGCCAGTGTGGAAATCCAAAGGAAGCTGAGAAGTTTGTGTCTGTGATGGAAAGGAAATTGCTGGCTCCGACTAGTGACATAAGCGATATGCTGATCAGCAGTTACTGTGAGAAGGGTAACACTAAGAGCGCACTTCGGTTATATGACAGGATGATTGCACGGAGCGAGAAGTTAATCCCCTCTGCGGATACATTTATGATGTTGGTGAGAAGAGTCATCAAAGTAAAGACATAGTTCCCATAATACCTGATCTCGCAGTTAGATGGTTTGTGCTTGATGGGAAAAAAGCTAAAGGGGGCTGAAGGATAGGCGAAGGTAAAGAGGGAGAAGGTTGCTATTATTTAATATAAGATTGGTCTACATATTGCACTTATTGTACCTTCGCAAAGGAAATGGTAAAAATAGTAGGCTAGCCAACAGCAAACCACCATGAGGCTGCTGAAAATAAAAAGGACATGTGAGGAGAAATTAAGGCCTCCCTAACTCCCGTGAACATGAAACCTGCTCTACGAGTGAGGGGAGGAATTACAAGAGAATCCAATTTTCTTTTCTCGCCTTGTAAGGCAAACAATCTGAGATTCTAGTTGGAGACATGTTATTTTCTGCTTGTGTGCAAGTGGATGAGGCCAACCTACGATGCAGACTCCCTTGGAGTCCAGACAAGATTATTGCTAACATAACTACTCTATGAGTGTATGCTGCTCCTAGGACCTTTTCAATGCAAAATGGATCACTGGATTTCTGCTTGCCTGTTACTGTAAGGGTTTGTTCTTCTATGAAGCACTAATGCACTGAGCAGGAACTGGTAAATGGTAATCTTTTTCCAGTGCTGATGATGACATAATGTATGATAACATTTTTAATGCACTGAACCATTATAATGTCATTCACATGTCTATAGCATTGTTCAGTGTCATCTATCAAACTGACTCTGAATTCATTTTTTGATTCAAATCTTGCTGATGTTCAGTGCTTTTAAGTTTTCTTGCTCTCATTCTTTTCATATTGTGATAACGGAAGGCCTCATTTCAGTCAACAGTTAACTTCCGACATTCTGCTTGACCTAATTATAGCTTGCCCTCTTTGCTTTTGGCATGTTATAAGTCTGTATTTCCTGGCATGTTATAAGTCTTGTTCTCTACTTAAATGTGTGCACACCTGTAGGTGATATGGGGCTGCATGACTGTGTTTAAGGTTGGCAGTAGGATTCTATAAGGCATATGACAAATAGCGTCTGTATATCTTTTGGTGATGGAACATTAAAGATAACAGCTAATTTTGTTTGCTGGACTGGTTAATGAAAACTGAGGGCTTTCGTTTTCAGAATCAGGCTATCTGTAATAATGGACATGCTGTTCTCATGTGTGACATCTCTTATAAGATATTTTTCTTTGTTAAAGAAATACAAAGTCTGCTGTCATTTAGTTTGCAGTCCTTGGATCTTTTGTCTATTGTACATGTGTGTAGGTTCTGGTATATGACCCAACATCACACCTCAGCGGGACACAGTTTTTACTGTGTTGGTTTTCTACTGCAGCAACCAATAGATCTCCGATGCAGAAGACACAGGTTTGTCACCAGCCAAACTAATGCTTGATTTTTACTTATGCTGCCACTCTGTGCTAGATGTCCATGAATCTGATGCTAGCTCTTAATCACTTGAGCGATTGATGTGTCAAGAAAATTAAGCTGATCGTGCTCCGGTGGCGCTTGGTGCTAGGCGAGGGGGATCGAGCCGAGCAGGGGGGCGCCTTGCGGGAACTTGGGCGCAGGAGGGGAGGGCAGGCCATGGCATGCTCTGCAAGGACACGTGGGGGCTGATGGCTTCAGGTATGACTTGTCTATACTCAAAGTGGTCAGTATGACCAAAACCTATAGGAATAAAAGTCTTCATTAACTCTCCTCCTTTTCATGTTACCTTTTTATCTGGATCACCAACGCCGGTTTACTTCTATTGTGGGGACCTTTAGAGGGCCAAGATGAACTTTCATCCTAGCTCAAAAAGAAAATGAAAAAACTTTCACCAGCTGTCCATACACTGACAGTGTTTGGCTAGACACCTTGGTTGGCATGGGGTCCTCCAGCAACGTCTTCGTCTCTTTGATCCAGATTTAGTAGAGGCTTCGACCCGGTCACGACAAATCATCTTTCTCACAGCTAGCGAGGGCTCATGGGCTAGTGAATGTTCGTTGTAAGATAGTCATGAGCCGACCTAAAGCTCAACCTGGTGTACGTGACCGCCGACTACACCAATGGGCAGGCTAATGGGTATCGCTTCCCCCTTGGTTTGGCTCCTCCCCTTGACCCCTTCAGGCTCTGGGTGAATTTTTTTATCTGTATCAGCGTTGAGTTTTGATCTCGACTAATTTGGTATTTAAAGCCATGCTGCAAAACCATTCATCTAGAAAAGGATTGCACTCTAGAACGCTGAATTCTAGTAGTGACTGGGCACTCATAATTAACGAACTCTCATTTATAAAAAGAATGATAAAAATGTACGCCCATTGTATCGATAATTGAAGCACTCTGATTGTCGTCCATGGCATGGCATAAGGATATCCCCAACAATGGACATGGGCCAACCGTGGGCCACAGTCATAAGAAAATGCATAAGGAAACTGATAATACTGAACGGAATACAGTGTCTATTGCGTGGAACTGGTTGGTACACATACCAGCAGCATGTCTGCTCAGGTGTGAGACTGAATTTCCGATAAGGACACATCCCAACAAAATGTGACCTTTTTTTTCCCTGTCTCATCTCTCCCTTTTAATACTTCTCTCTTTCACAGTGGGTCCACATGCCATCTACTCCACATAACCTGAGTGATGATGGGGATCATTCTTTGAATGTATTTGAGTTTCCATGGTCTGTAGGGCAGGCTAGCTCGATTACGACTTAGTACAAATTTCCAAAAAGAGCTGCCAGCTCCCATTGTTCGACTCCAGGAACCAGATGCATGACCGGTAACATTGTGGCAGAGGATTGCCACACCATACATACGATATCTCAAGCCTAGTCTGCTCCTCCCGTCACCACATGTATGAACAGCAATATTCTCAAATGAACATCGCGTCCAAACCCATGTTCCAGATGTGCGTCATGGTGGCCTCCCTTCTCATCACCTCAGGGGATGTTGCGGCTGCTAGACAACAACATGCTCGAATGAGAGGTATTGCTATGAACTTTCCAGTGCTAAGTTATGCAGTTCAAACATGCATCAATCTGGAAATAACCTTGGCGGAATGCTAGGTGTTTGTGTTACTACATGCCTGCACTGCATCTAATATGAATAAGTTGTTCAACAGGCTTCGTTTTGCTGCGGATGCTTGTGATAGCCAACCTCTGGATAATATGCAGCGGCAGTGTTCAGAAACAAGTTCTCCTGCCAGGGTTCAGTGTCTCTGAAAATGATTACATCGATAATAATGGAACTTTTCTGTTGTCCAATGGCTTCGTATATGGCTTCGGCTTTGTAACCAGTAGTGTGTCAGAGAGCTCCTATCTTCTCTCGGTGGTGCACCTAGCCTCCACTTCTGTCGTCTGGACTGCTAATGCTAACTCTCCTGTTTCTCATACGGATGCCTTTGTGTTCGACAAGGATGGTAATGCCTACCTGCGGTCTCAAGGCTCCACTGTCTGGACTGCCAATCTCTCCGGCAAGGGCGCCTCTATTCGGCTGCTGGACTCTGGCAATCTTATAGTGCTCGGCAAAGACGGCTCTTCTCTTGTATGGCAGAGTTTGAGCTATCCAACGAACACACTTTTGTCTGGCCAGAGCTTCACTGATGGGATGACACTTGTGAGCCAGTCCAGCACAAACAACATTAGTTATACACTTGGCATCACATCAGGGGACATGAGGTTGTACGCAGGCTTCCAGAACCCCCAACCTTACTGGTCTGCTGTGCTGGATACAAGGTTGCTCGTGGACATGAATGGCGACATCTACTCTTCAAACCTCAATTCAACTTCGTGGTACTTCTATGATAAATCAGGGTCTCTTCTATCACGGCTTAACATTGCGCAGCAGAGTAGTGCCAATGACACATTGGCTGTTGTCCTCAGCGACAATGGATCCCTTTCCTTCCGCATCCTCCTACAGATTGCCGATGGCACGCGCTACATGGCTAGTCTCCCATTCGCAATCCCGGAGGACTCATGTGACATGCCAGCCCAGTGCGACCCCTATTCCGTTTGCATTAGTGGAGCAGGATGCCAGTGCCCGTCAGCACTTAGCACCTTTCCAAACTGCAACCCCGGTCTCATATCACCATGTAACTCAAAAGAGGACTTTCAGCTAGCTCAACTGGATAGTGGAGTTGGGTATATTGGCACTAGGTTCACCCGGCCCTTGGCTAGAACAAATATCATAGGATGCAAGGATGCGTGCATGGGCAATTGCTTCCTTTTCAACCAGATCGGTAGTTTGCAGAAGAAAGGTGAAAGGGAACCTGCTTCTGTATCTTTTATCAAGGTATCTAGCACTAACCATGGCTCTGGGAAAGGTGGGAGTGGCGCCGGGAGGCACACCGTCGTTACTGTTGTCATTGTGGTCGGACCGTTGGCTGTCATAGGGGTTCTTGTTTATGTTGGCTTCAGCATTTATCATCGTCGTCGGAGGCAACCTTCACCCTCACAAGAACAAGACGATGGGTTTCTCCGGACGATATCTGGAGCACCAATGCGGTTTACTTACACGGAGCTCCGAGGTGCTACAAACAACTTCGCTGACAAGCTTGGTCAGGGAGGATTTGGATCCGTGTATCTCGGAACACTCCCAGATGGGAGTAGCATTGCTGTAAAGAAGCTGGAGGGCCTAGGCCAAGGGGAGAGAGAGTTTCGTTCTGAGATGACAACAATTGGCAACATCCACCACGTTCATCTAGTTAAACTCCGAGGTTTTTGCGTCGAGGGGGCACAAAGGCTTCTTGCTTACGAGTACATGCCCAAGGGGTCTCTAAACAGGTGGATTTTGAGCACTAGAGTGGATGCTCCCCTTCTAGACTGGGATACAAGGTTTCGCATTGCACTTGGAACAGCAAAGGGGCTGGCGTACCTCCATCAGGACTGCGAGTCCAAGATTATACATTGCGACATCAAGCCTGAGAACGTTCTACTTGATGACAACTTCCATGCAAAGGTAGCTGACTTTGGGCTTGCCAAGTTGATGAGCAGGGAGCAAAGCCATGTTTTCACCAGGCTCAGAGGCACACGGGGCTATGTTGCGCCCGAGTGGATCACCAACTACGCCATCTCAGATAAGAGCGACGTGTACAGCTACGGGATAGTCCTGCTCGAGATAATCAGCGGAAGGAGGAGCTTCGACCCCTTGGAAGCCTCGGAGAAGGCCCATTTCCCACCCTTCGCTTTCAAGAAGCTGGAGGAAGGCGATCTTCGCAATATCGTCGACGCCAAGTTGGCGTACGACGATGAAGATGACCGGGTGGAGATAGCTATCAGGGTTGCTCTGTGGTGCATTCAGGAGGATTTCTCCTGGAGACCTTCCATGTCGAAAGTTGTCCAGATGCTCGAAGGCGTCTGTGATGTGCTGCAGCCACCGACGTCCTCGCATGTTGTGGACCGGCTCCATCCGAATGCTTTCAAGCCGACTGATACTCTACTTTCAGCTGTGCAGCTGTCTAGTCCCAGATGATATGCTGGAGTAGATGACCGGTTGCGCCCCCGACCGGCGTGCAAGTCGTCGGCTATCTCTTGTTTTGGCAGCATACTGTGCTGTATTTGGCAGCATATTGGATATTGCTGCTATAATGCTATTTGCTGGGGTATTTGGACTACCCGCTATAAAGTGACTTCTGAATCTCATGTGGGGGAGTGTCTTACTGTTCTGGGCAGTTTTACTGAAAGAAGGGTGCAGGAACACGCTGCGTGAAGGTGTCCAGCAAGTTATGTTGATGGCTTCTTCTTTGGTCGAGTAGTTGAAGGACGGTGGTGCAGCAAGGGAAGTAGCTCTGATGCGTGTAGCCCTCTGTGTTTCTGGAGCTGCTCTTCTGTTTTGTTGGCTTGTTGCTAATGTTGGTTTGATTTTGCAGGTCTTTTAGTGGACATGTACGGGGAGGAACGAGATCCTCTGACATTGCAAGGGAAGTCAGGTAGAGCTACACCTCACTGACTTTGCTTCGCCACACCCGCACTAAAAGCAAGGTGGCACAGTGGAAAACTACAATAATTACCGACACTAATCGTCTACAGCAAATTATCTACAGTATCAGCATCACCTCTCTGACTTGCCTTCTTTTTTCTATACAAAGGAGCACTGTGCCATAACTCGATTTTCTCTTTCTGTCTCATCTTGGTGCTCCGTGAGTCGTTGATCAATTACTAGGAAGGGACAAGCCCACTTGACAAAAAAAGTATGGGTATGCCAAAACCTGGTGCGCTCTGAAGAAAGCTTTTAAATAGCAGCCGCAATAGCGGTAGCGTCTCAGGTTGCGCCAGAAAAGTGTGTTTTTTTAACTCAGTACAACCGAATCGCTCCTATACATGAGCATACTCTCATTTCTATAAGCACCACAGAGAGACTAAGCTGTCATAGCATCTTGAGATTTTAAGAAGTCACCACTAAATGTCTCACGGTCAACAGAAACATCTCCTCCCAGAACGTACATCTTGAGCATCCTGTTATCTGCCCTTTATCTCTCTTGAGTTCTGGATGTTGGCGCTTGTGCCCATCCCGAATATGATAACATACTGTTGTGACTTGTGTTGGTCTCATCTATAAAAGGTGGGGCCTGGGCGGTGCCCTATTTTTTTTAAAAAAATGCGAGCATCAATGTCAAGTTTAGGACTTAAGCCCTGGTAGGCTGAGGATACCACTGTCTTTCTAAGTCCTAACCATCCAACAACAGGTTAGTTCGAAAATAGTGTGCTTCTAATGTTGTGCGTGCAATATCAGTTATCAAACCGCTATATCATCCGCTATCTGCAAGATCGCCCGCTATATATGTGCTTATTATATGAAAATACCAAATATGGACTGAGCTCCATGAAGGCCTTAATTTGGAAACTAAAAAATTCAAACTTTTCAGTATGAAAAAATTCTGAAAGAAAATACATATATACCTAGAGACAAAAAATGGCCACCACAAAAAAAGCAAATATGCGGCTCTTTAGCATATGTAGGGTCTGTTTGGTTCATGACTAACTTTGCCGCAACACGTGTGGCTAACAAAATGGCCACCACAAGTGTGGCAAGATTTGCCAAAAATTGAGCCTATGACATGTGGGCAATATTGCAAGAAAAGTGTGGCAATAAACCAAACACACGCCTAAGATATTGTGGCACGACTAAGCTTAAGCGTGGCAACCTTAGGCTGTAAACCAAACATGCCCGTAATGTGCATCCTCAAAATGTAGGAGTTTTTTTTTTCCAACTCCGCAATTGGAGGTATTTTATCCTGAAATTTTACACGCATTTTTTAAATAATTTTTTGGAACTGAAAAGTTTGAATGTTGAATAACATGCGGATGACGATGCCATCCATTGGTAAAACCAGGGGACGTGCAACTTGTTTCTCCAACGGGGATGTCATGCCATCCTGCCCATCACTCCAACCAAACCAAACCAAACCGTGGTGCGTCGCAAAGTCCACCGAAAGTGGCCGCCTCCAGTTTCACCGCAAGCCGTTGAAAAAATCCATTTCCCTTTCGGTACATTCGTGCGACGCCGCTCCGTGATGCCGGGGTAGCCCGTAGCCGTGCAGTGGACATCTCTCGCTCCCATTGTTTAGGGCATGTACAATGGTTGATAAGATAATTTTATTTTAAGTTTTACATGTAATTTAGAAATGACAAAAAAAATATTTACAATGGGTCATCTCTTAGCCTTATCTTCAATAACTAGCAATTCCTAAAAATATGGTGAGACATATTGTGCTAAGAGATCATCACTTGTCTTATCTTAAATAAAAGAAGATAAACCTTTTTTTATGAGTTCTCTCTCCTTCACCTCATCATTTATCCTACATGACACTCCTAAGATAGCACCATTGTACATGCCCTTAGTCGCATCTCCCGTTGTTTTGGCAGCGGCGCCGAACCCGCCCTCCCAAAACCGTTGGCGCCCACGCCACCTATAAAACCCATCACCTCAACCAAACTCACCACCATCACACACACACACACCAGCAAAAATATTCCAACGAAGCAAGAAGATCATCGATCGATCTCCAACTCCAACAACTCCGGCGCCGGGCTTTGATCGGAAGGGAAGAAGGAGGAGGAGGATGCGGATGAGCTGCAACGGGTGCCGGGTGCTCCGCAAGGGGTGCGGCGAGGGCTGCACCATCCGCCCCTGCCTGGAGTGGATCCGGAGCCCCGACGCGCAGGCCAACGCCACCGTCTTCCTCGCCAAGTTCTACGGCCGCGCCGGCCTGCTCAACCTCCTCGCCGCCGAAGACGCCGCCCTCCGCCCGGCGCTCTTCCGCTCGCTGCTCTACGAGGCCTGCGGCCGCATGGTCAACCCTGTCTACGGCTCCGTCGGCCTGCTCTGGTCCGGCCAGTGGGGGGCCTGCCAGGCCGCCGTCGAGGCCGTGCTCAAGGGCCGCCCCATCGTCCGCGTCACGTCCGACGCGCCCCTCACGGCGTGCGACATCCGCCATGTCGCCAAGGCCGACCGCCCTGCTGCGGCGGCCGACACGCCCCTCGGGGTCTCGCGCGCCGGGCGCACCGGGTTCAAGCGCGCGTCCTCCTCCACGGCCAAGTCCAAGTCCAGGACCTCCTCCGGCGCCAAGCGCGACGATGGGCTCGACCAAGCGCCGAGCCACGAGGAGTCGGCCGGCAGCCACGACCACGGCAGCCACGTTGAGGACGACGGCATGGCAGTCGAGCAGACGAGGGGAGAAGAGTCGTCCGAGGGCACCGAGGTTGACGCGGGCTCGCACGTGAGCCAAGCAGAGCACAGCCCCGTGCCGCCGGTGGCCCAGGACGAGCAGGAGGCGCATGGCGACGAAATCGGGCTGGAGCTGACGCTGGGGTTCCAGCCGGTCACCCCGCGCGTGGTGGCGAGGTCGCCGCCGGCAGGGGCACGCTTCGGCGCCGGCAGCTCGAGCGAAGAGTCCGGCCACATCGGCCTGCTGCTTGAGCTGCCCGTGGCATAGAGACGCGGCCGGCGACAGTGCCTTTCTTGAAACTAGCTGCAGAGATAGAGTCATCAGTTTTGGGATCGTGTCATGCACCTTCGTGGTTGTTGTTTTTTCTCTTTTCCCCATTTTAGAATAGAGATAGCAGTGGAATCTTGTATACCTTGTGCATCTGCTGAGTGCCTTGTTGTTAGTGCCTCTCTGGATATATCTCGTGGTATGTTAGGCCCCTCCCAATGCTTCATCTTGTATAGATGCTAAGCCTTTCACGTAGGCAAAAAAACTGATGTGGCAAGTTATTTAAGAGGAGAGAGATGAGTGTGGTGACCCCAGGAAGAACCAATGCTAAGCACGTGAACCTAGGCAAAACATTTAAAAGAAAGGAGCCCACCAATACATGAAGAGCTTTAGTTGCTAAATCATTAAATGAAGCAAGCTTAGCAACCATAAGCTAAGCACCTATGCATTGGGGAGTATAGTTGCTAAGCTATTTATTGTGCTTAGCACTTCATCTAAGCACACATGCATTGGCAGCAGCCTTACTCACAGGAATGACACTACTAGCTATGATGTACTGATTTCAAGTCATTAGAGCAACTGTCATATGGCTTCAATCAGGATAATAATTGTGACTTCAGTCGGCATAATAACATCTAATATAATGATTTTGACCAAGCGGTCAGCTTGGTAAGCTACCAACAAACAATTGCAATAAAAATATGTTGAAAATATGTTGACGATTTTGGCCCAGGATCGCATTTTGGCACTGTTGTTGTATGCCTCTCTCGGTCGACATAATTTATGGAATTCGCTCCAAAACCGAGCTCGTAACCTTCACATTTGAAGGAGATCATGTTTGGAGCTCACTCCAAATCTAAAACTACGAGAGGTGAAGTTTCAGCCTCTTCCTTCGTGCCACATGCGGGATGTAAAGTAGGCCGACCTCCCACGCGCCATTGGTGACGGAAACCCGACCATTAATGCCACAACCGCTTAGTCGAATTCCCGTGGGAGCCCATGAGATGGCGTCATGTGGCATCATCTCTTGATTTGCGTGTGAGCAGGCCGAATGGAGTCGTTTGAGCAGCCAAGAGGCATGTGAATGGGCCGTGGCAACTTTTCTCATCGGGAGACGAGCCCCTTGACCACTAATCGTCAACCATCTCCCCAACTGCCCTCTTTATGGTACACGCGTTGGCCTATAAAGATTAGCGCCATTATTGCATAATCCTTTCTTACCCGTCTCCAATCCACTTCTTTGGCTCCATTAGCACAGCGGCAAGAGCTTCCCCTCGTCTTCGGTTTTCGGGATGAGGTGGAGGTGAAGAAGTCGGTAGGTCCTTTGCACCCCTTATAGGACTAGATGAACGTGGCCCTTGAGATGATTGCTTAGATGTACGCGCAAATGGAGTAGCAGATTTGGACCCCGCGCCCACCCCCACTCTTGCCGGCGTGGATGAATGACCGTTCTAGGATGACCTCACCGAGGTGCATTTTTTGGGCCATCGAGGCCGGCATTGCCACACTCTACGCCGACGGCGGCGGCGGATCGTGATGATGGACATGGCTGCAACTACTAGGTAATTATTAGTTTGTGGTCTATCAATGTGACTAGTGACTCAAAAAATACTAGGAATGAAATCGAACTAACGTTTGGATTAAATATGTTGCCTTTCTGACGAATGTGTGTTTGCATAAAACTACCGCGGCCCCATAACCATATGGAGAGCGCTCCATATCTGTATGGAGAGCGCTCCATATCTCGTATGATAACCGCACAATACATATGACGACTCTATTAGAGTTGCTCTTACAAGCACAAATGTGTCAAATTAGAGAAGCGACGCCACGATGGTGTAGCCATAGGCTATGTGCTGTAGGTGGAGAGGGCATGGGAGAGAGAGGATGACAGGTGGGCCCTACACCAGGTTAACAGTTGAGTCAAACAATATGAGTTTTCCCATGCCATGCCATCACTTCCAGTCGGCCCTTGTCAGATTTCGTGTCAAAACGAGCTCAACCTAGCGTCTAACGTTTTCGGCAAAAAATTACTGAGCACCGGTGGCTTTTGCAAATTGTTAGTTGGGTGGTGGGTTTTTAGAAAATAGACCGCAATTGTTGTGGTTTTTTGCAATGTAGTCCTATGCGGCTACCTGCAGCGCGCCTTTATATAATAGAGTACGAGTCCAACAAACCATAATAGCATATTTTGTTTAGCCAATGCAAAAAGGAAATCAGCTTTTTTGAGCTTCTAAAATGTTGTTTCTACCTTTTCGTAAAGTAACAGGCTCCCTCCATGTATGGATCTATTTCGCATTTTCAGATAAACATGAGCCTATACTGGTAGAAATTGCAGTGTTCATGCCTTCACAAGTACTTGGTGCTTTTTTTGCAGCACGAGTAAGACAACATATATGAATGATTGAACAATTATAAGGGCGCCAAGGAGGAATCACTGTATACTAGTAATTGTAACCGTAAAATGGATAGCCTACACACAAACTGAAGCTGACACATATAAAGTACTAGTCAGAAACGCCCATGTCAGATTGTAATACTATTTTCCAGTGGTAATATAGAAAAAGCACATGGATTCCTCACGTACGTTATACCAGCTACAGCTGCAGAGCAATTGCTTACAGATTCCTGAAGGATCACTTCTCGCTGAGCTTCTTCATATGCCTCTTCAGCCTCCTTGACAGTCGTCTTTGACTCTTAGCCCTAGATTGATACATAAACACAGTTCTATTATAGAAGCTCCCAACAGTTTTCTTCATGATCCCACAATCTTCATATTTACGCGCATCAGCCACCAACGTCGACAGTTCATCCGCTGAAAACATCTGAAACACACACGGGCTAGCTTCAGCGACTCACTCGAATGAGCGACAAGTTTCCATCATACGCAGCACATTCTCAAAAACATTATGCTACGATTTGCCTCGTGCGGATCGCCAAATACAATCTTCTCTTCTGGGAAACACACCATCTTCAGAGCCGTTGCCATTTTCAGCGTGTCCCAATCCTGGGAATTTATGGACGATACCACCTGGAGGAAGGCACTGGCACCGCGCCAGCTCTCACCAATTGCCTTCAAACATTTATCACAATCATTCAGCATGCATGCCGTCTCGATAATGCACTCGTTAACCTGGATACAAAGAGCACTGCTCCGTCAATGACCGATGCATATCAATTAGGCGAACTTGTTACAGTTGAAGCTTTGATCAGCGGCAAGTGCACAAACTTTCAGAAAGTGTGTGTTCATGGACTGTGAGCGATAAATCATTAAGCATTTTCACACCAGACATACGAGAAGGCAAAGTGGTGATCTCGCATTGTCGAGTTTGACATCATCGAAGCCATATCGATCTACAAGCATTTTCAGCCCTCGACTCGTCCGAAGACACTCCCCCTCAGCTTGCTTTGACTTCTCTTCGGGGAAAAAACTATGCATGAGATAATTCAGGCCGCGCATCACGTCCAGCAGAGTAAATTGCAAAAAACCATCAGAATTGGGGACCCTAATTCAGAAAACCACCACCTTTCGTTATTTTTTCAAAAAACCGCCACGTTCGTGCTGACAGTTTTCAAATGACGCTGATTCGCTCGTTTGCCGCGTCTGAGTGCAAACCTGACTAGTTGGGCCCGCTGTCAGGGGCCACGTGGACAGGAGGCGACGGCGCGCGTGACGGGCGCCGTTAGACGGCGTCGCACAAGACCTAGCGACCCGGTCCAGCCGCACCCAGTTCCCCCCAAATCGCATCTCCTCCTTCCCACAACTCCGCCCTAGCTCGCTCCCCTCATGGCCACCGGCGGCGGCGGCGGCTGCGCCGGCTCAGCCGGTGGCGTCACGGACGGCCGCCACATCTCCATCGTCGATTCTACGGGCCGCTCCGCCCTTCCTCGCTCTCCCACGGGGCCCCCTGGTTCGATTGGAGCCGTTCGATCTGCCGTTGCCAGCGGTGATGAGCGCGGCAAGGATGGCAGCATCTTCAACGCCAGCGTCGATGACATTGAGTCACGAGCCGCCGCTAAGTTGGCCCAGGTCTGGAAAGCAAATCCAGGGCAGAGCCACCACTTCACTTCCGGCCTCGGTGGCATTGAGTGAGTATTTTTATTCCCTTTTCAATGAATTTTCTTGTGATTCTGGTACTGTAATTGTACACTTGGTGTGATTTTGGTAGTGTTTTTTCTCTGTTTGTAGTTCAATTTAGGATTTAGGGTTTATGTCAACTAAATTAGGGTTTGTAGCTTTACTCATTAATTGAATTACGTTGACCTGGTTTGTAATACATTTTAGGAACTAGTGTTTGTAATTCTACAATTGCTCTTCAATTTAGAAGTTCTATTCATTGAAAATTTAGGTTAACTGAACTTTATGCTTACTGAATATGAGCTCAATTCACTAAACTGAAGTTAGTTTCAATGTACTGTTTACTTAATATATCTCCTAACTTAATTAACAGTTAATTCCATATGATTGCAACTGTTGTTAACTGAATTTACTGAAAACTGATAACTGAACTTAGTGGTTAGTGTTAACTGAATTTACTGACAACTGAACTTGCTGTTAACTGAACTTGCAGTTTGGGTGAAGATGAACCTTGGGATCTTAGGTTCCATTTCCAAGGTTGTGACAATCTGGAAAGGACCATATGTGAATCAGATATCACATATATCAATATGCTAGCTATTATTGGGATAGAGGGGTATGGTCAAAAGGACTCCATGTATTATGTGAAGCAACATGGTGTGGGGATGGCAGGCATGCAGCTAATAAAATATGAGGAAGATGTAGAAGAGATGCTGATATTGTATGAGGACAAGAGGTGTGTCACCATCACAGTTATGAAAGGAAGTGAGCCTGACATGCATATCAACATTGGAGATGGATGTGAGAAGCAGATACCAATTTCTAAGATTGGTTCTCCTAAGGTCTATAGTATAGATGATGCAGGTGTGCTTTATCAAACTCAGAGCAGTGAACCACAGCCAGACATGTCTGCTCCTCTTGTCAGTGCACACACAGAAGATTCATATGGAGAATATCTTTACACACAGGAGAGTTGCAATGTTAGAAATTGGAAAGACATATCAGGTGTCACAGAGTTAGATGATTTTCTTACAGAGTTTGTTGATGACATGCCAGTAGTGCAAGAAGAAGATAACATCGAAGAGGAACGGGAGGAAGAGGAGCAAGTGGAAGAGGAGCAAGAGGAAAAGGAACAAGAGGAAGATGAGGAAGAGGAAGAGGAAGATGAGGAAGAAGATGCAGACTTAAACCAAAAAATAAAAGATTTGAAGAGGAAGAGGGTTTTTGAGGGTGATTGTGAGCCAGAGACTTGTTCTGTGAGATTGAGGAGGAGGAGGAGGAGGAGTCTAGAGAGGGGTTTGTTGAAACACCACATCTGCAGAAATTGCCTATTAGAAGAGGTCCAACAAGTAGATCACATTGCAGTTCACAAGCTGAACTTGAGTCAGACTATATTCCAGTAAGTGATGAAGATATGAATGATGAACTTTATGTTGATTCAGATGAGGAAGTAGTAGTGTATTGTCTCACATCTGGTAGAAAGTTCAGGGCAAAGAAGAGGAAGGCCAGGATATGGTATGATGAGAAAAGACTTGAGCCACAACAACAAATATGTTGGCACATGTGTTTCCTTGATGTTTACCAATTCAGAAGAGCTTTGGTAAATTTGCATGTCACACAAAGAAGGAACTACCATTACCACAGGAACAACAAAGATAGGATCATAGTTGATTGTCTTGAGGAAGGCTGCCCCTTTCACATGGTTGCATCTGTTATTGCAAATGAAAAAACATTCTGTATTAGGAAGCTACAACTACAGCATACATGTGCTCCAAGTGGTGAGAATTGCAAGGTTCCTGCTAGGTTTGTGGCCAAAGCAGTTGAAGACAGCTTGAGGACAGATTCTAGAGCAGGTATTGAGACTGTCATAGACAAGGCAAAGGAGAAGTATGGTGTGGAGGTTGGAAAGATGAAGGCTTATAGGGCAAGGCAGCAAGCTCTCAGTGTTGTGCAGGGTGACCAGGAAGCACAATACACTAGGATTAGAGACTATCTTCAGGCTGTTTTGGACACAAATCCTGAGAGCAGATGCATTATGACAACTAGAGTGGTGAAAGAACATCTAAGAAAAAATCCAAGATTTCATAGGCTTTTCATTTGTCTAGCAGCACAAAGAGAGGGTTTTCTTAAAGGATGTAGACCTTTCATTGGTAGGTTTTTTGTGCACCAAAATGTTATGTTTCATTGGTATGTTTCACTTCTTTGTTTCATCTTTTTTGTTTCACTTTTTCAGGTCTTGATGGGTGTTTTGTGAAGTTAAACACAGGTCAACAAATCTTAGCTGCTACTGGCAGAGATGGAAACAATAATATATTTCCTTTGGCCTTTGGAGTAGTTGAGAAGGAGGACACCCCTACTTGGTGCTGGTTTTTAACTCAACTGAAGATAGTTCTTGGGGGAGAATCAGGACACTTTGGAAATTACACAATAATGTCAGACAGGCAGGAGGTAATTTAGATGCTTTACTTACTAGTTGTAGCACAAATAGTTCTATAAAACTTAATTAGGCTTTTGATTTGTGTCACTAGGGCCTGCTTAATGCCATTGACCAAGTATTTCCAAATTGCCCTCAAAGATATTGTTTAAGGCATATTTATGCAAATTTCCAAAGTGCTGGCTTTAGAGGAGATGAACTTAAGCAATATATGGATGCAACAGCTTATTCTTACACTAAGAATGGGTTTGATGAAGCAATGGCAGAAATTAGAAAGGAAAGTGAGGAGGGTTGGGCCTGGCTGAAGGGAATTCCTATAGAAACATGGGCTAGATATACTATGGACACCAACTGTAAAACTGACCTAGTAGTGAACAACATTAGTGAGGTGTTCAATAGGATGATATTGGATATTAGGGGCAAACCCATTAAAACAATGGTTGAAGGTGCTAGGGCCAAATTGATGGTGAAGTTCAATGAAAAAAGAATTGGGGGGAGAGTGCTAGATGGACAATTACCCCAACATATACAGAAATGTTAGAGGAGTCAAAGGAATGGGCTAGGAATTGCAAGGCTATGATGGCTGGGCCAGATCTATATCAAGTCAACAGTGGTGAGAAATCTTATGCAGTAAACTTGAAGAACTGGACATGTGGCTATAGAAAATGGGACATGAGAGGTGTACCATGTAATCATGTTGTATCTACCATCTACAAATCAAAACAGCAGCCTGAAGATTTTGTACATCAGTTCTTCAAGAAGCCTATGTACTTAGAAGCTTACAAGCCAATGATCTACCCTGTTCCTGGACCTGACCTGTGGACAAGAACAGATACAAGAGACATAGACCCCCCTGTGTTCCATAGGAAGAAGGGCAGGAAGCAGACTCAGAGGAGGAAGGGGCAGTTTGAAGTACCAAAACCCAAGGACACTTCTTGAATTGGAACAATAACTTGCAGCAACTGTGGGAAGCAAGGGCATAGGTACACAAACTGTGGTGTTCCTTTGAAGCCAGCCCTTGTAGCTAGGAAGAACAAGCATAAGGTACTCAAATTAATGCACATCTTTGCTCTGTTTCACATTTGACTGAAAAACTAATGCACATCTTTGCTCTGTTTCAGGAAACAAGATCTGCGCCTATACCTGCAAGAGCTCCAGCAGCATCTTCTGGTGGAAGAGCTGCATCTAGAGTTGCTGCTGTACCTGATCCAACAACTGCTCCAACATCTGGTGGAAGAGCTACATCAACTGCTGCAAGGCTGCAACTACTGGTTCAAGACCTGCTGCATCAACTGCTGCAAGAGCTGCATCAACTGGTGGAAGAGCTGCATCATCTGGTTCAAGACCTACTGCATCAACTGGTGGAAGAGCTGCATCAACTGCTGCTGCAAGTGCATCAGCTTCTTCATCAAGGGCTAGGTCTACATTTGCTCCTCCAAGGCCTGCTACTACTGCAGCATCTGGTTCTTCAAGGGTGAGGAAGAAGCCAAGCAGACTTAGGGATTACTTCTATGCTAGTGGCAATTAGGCTGGCTATTGTAGTTGTTGTGGTGTTGGCAACTTGCGTTTTGTTTCTCGGGACTTGCTAGAGTACTCTGCTTGCTGTGGTGTTGGCAAAGTTTTATGTGAACTTGTTGTGATATTGGCAAGATTAGTGGAACTTGTCGTTTTATGTGAACTTGCTATCATGTTGGCAAGATTTGTGGAACTTGTTGTGATATTGGCAAGCATAAGGTCATGTTTGTTTAATGTGAACTTCCTGTGATGTTGCTAAACATTATATGATGTTGTTGTTAAATATGTTGAATGGTTATCACAAAGTGTAGATGCCCTTTCATTGATGGTTGTCGAGAGGCTACGGTTACCCAAGCATCACTTAGTGTTAGCCAAGCCTCTCGACGGCCGTCGACGAAAGGCATCCATCACTTAGGGTTAGCCAAGCCTCTCGACGGTCGTCGACGAAAGGCATCCATCAACTAGGGTTAGCCAAGCCTCTCAACGGTCGTCGACGAAAGGCATCCATCAACTAGGGTTAGCCAAGCCTCTCGACGGCCGTCGACGAAAGGCATCCATCAACTAGGGTTAGCCAAGCCTCTCGACGGCCGTCGAGGAAAGGCATCCATCAACTAGGGTTAGCCAAGCCTCTCGATGGCCGTCGACGAAAGGCATCCATCAACTAGGGTTAGCCAAGCCTCTCGACGGTCGTCGACGAAAGGCATCCATCACTTAGGGTTAGCCAAGCCTCTCGACGGCCGTCGACGAAAGACTCGACAAAATGACATGAAGTATATGATCAATTTGGATCACAATGCACATTAACAACACAATACCATATGATCACATTGAGCTAACATCATAATTCCTAGCCTCTCGACTAGTGTTCACATCTTACATAATAATCCATTACAATTAAAGATCATACTACTAAGGTCCTGATTAATTCCATTACACAAAACAGAGTACTTAGTTCAACAGAAAGTACTTAGTTCAACAGAAACAACATAGTTCAAGACAATACAACCAAGCAAACTTAGTTCAACCTTGTTGGCCGCATACATTATGCCAACAAATTACTCACTCATCACAGAGTTCTTTGATTTTCCTCAACTTAACCTTGTTTGCCTCCCCATCCTTCAGCAAATCAGCTATGATATATTCTAGCTTTTTCTTCTCTTTCTTCATCTGTTCAATCTGTTGAAGACCTTCATCTGCTACATGTTTCTTCCAATTGCTAACAAGTTCATCATTGCTCTGCTTAATGACTTGGAGTGCTGTCCTCAGCTCATTATTGTCTTTCTCAAGCTTAGCCATCTCTTCCTGGGTTTGAAGTACAGCATTCTCTACATGACCATCCTGCATAATCTTTTGGTAATTCTCCCTCATCACATTTTTATGAATTGTTGCAAAAAAATTGCTTGTTTCCTTGATGTGGTTGTGGTGCTTCTCCTGGATTAGCTTCTTCTCTTCTGCCAGTTTGAGTATGAGCTTTTCTTTAGCTGCATTCTCTTTGCTACTCTGTCATACATATCCCAAAGTTTGCGAAGTGCATTTTTCATGGGTTCTGGCCATTCTGGGTCAATCCACTGCACCAGACCACAATTGTCTCCTTCCTGTGATAACAATAATTACTTAGCATTTATTAAACTCAAGAGAAATAGTTCTTACTACACCATACTGAGCAGCAGGACAACACATTCAAATAAGTCAATTAACTGAGCTCATAACACATTCAAGAGAAATAATTCTGACTATATTCAGTGAACATCTATATATATTCAGTTAACTAAGCTCATTTAACACCTATATTCAGATAAGCATTCATTAAAAATGATAGATTCTTTCCTCATAACAGCAGATAAAACAACATATACAGATAACTAAGTAAACAGCTATATTAGTTAATAGAGAAAAAAACATATATTCAGAGAACTGAGCACCAACTACAAGATTTGCATAATCTTCATCTCTTCAGTTAATAGAGAAAAACACATATATTCAGATAACACCTATATTCAGTGTACCATGTAAATTGCAAATACAGGACCTACAACTAACCTCATTACCGCATCCGTAAAACCTACGGCCAGTGTTTATTCCTTGGAAGACAACAGCCCTCTGCACAGGAGCGTTGTGACAGCACAACGGCCCTCCGGCCACAATGCCGCACCACTCTGGGTCGACAATGGTCTGTGGGATCTACAATAGTGCAATACAGCAGATACGGTGCTCAATCCCCAATCACAGAGGTGAAAACAATGCTCAAATCGAAGAAAACCCTAACCATAATTTGCGAGAAAATGGTACTCACGTAGGTTTCCTCTGCGTGTGACTTGAAAAGGGGGGAGACAGATTCGTCGCTGCTGGTTTCGCCGTCTTTCCAGGAGACCATGGCTGCGGCGAGCGGCGGCCGGCGGCGAGAAACGAGCGGCGGAAGGGGTCGG